CTCTCTCTCTCTCTCTCTCTCTCTCTCTCTCTCTCTCTCTCTCTCTCTCTCTCCTTTTCATATCCGGCACGTTTTGTTTTTCATCTTCGTCCTCTTCGTAGTCGTGGTTGTCGACCGTGGAAAATCGATTCTCTTCTACGCGAGCGAACCGCGCGCGTCACAATTTCGCGACGGATGCGAGAAATATTCCGTAATATACATCTCTAACTATGTACACGCGTGTCCCCGGCTCGACGTGTCCGCCTGAAATATGATCGCGACACGGTTTCACCGTTTCCAACGGGAAAGAAAGGAAACGTTGGATCCGAGTCGTTCAATTGAACAAACCACGCGTTTGCCGGTCGATTAATCCGTTTCGACTGTTTCGAAATCTAATGTGTGTTAAGCCATGAGTTATTCTCTTTCATCCTTTCGAATCTGCCGCTCGGAATCGTGAAAGTTAAAGAGAATGCTATTTCACTACATAATTCAGGTTTATCTTCGAATGGCAGCCCGATCGGTCCATCTTTCCTCCCCTCCCCCCCCCCCCGCTGATTCTTTTCAACAGATTCTGCTTCTTTCAACCGCTTCATCATAGAATCTGGTGGAAATGGTGGTTTACATTTGAGAAAAAAATTGCGGGTTGATGTATTTACGCGTGAGGATTGTAAGAGTAACGAGTTGTCGTGGCTTGTAGTTAGATTCATAAGCGTCGTTTTTTTTTTCTTTTTTTCTTTTTTTTTTTTTTTTTAAGTACGGATTGTTTCTTGTTCTGTAATTAGGATATCTGTTGAAGTGACGTTTTTTTAAAATGTTCTTCAAGATATGAACGGAACCTGAAAGGAACAAACTTTCAGACAGTTTTTTTTCGTCGTATTCGCTTATTAAATACGGTAAAATTAAATTTTTAAGAAACATCTGATTGAAAAATTAAAGGGCACGGATAAATTTATAAATGAATTTCAAAATAGAACAATAATTGCTAAAGTAAAGAATATATAGAATTTGAATTTCGTTCCTTGTTGGTTTCATCTTGTATTCCTGTTGTAATGGATTATTTTTTTACTCGTTTTCTAGAATTATTGATAACCAATGTATTCTGAAATTAGTATTACAATCATTGTTGATGCTTGACTTAACCAAAAAATGGCTCGATATATCAACAATTCTAGGAGCATCGTTTTGATACAGGCCCGTTTTATCTGACAATTAACTATGATTTGTTAGTTTTTTTTTTGCTCAGATTATATCGTGCGTCGAAGTAACGAATCCGTGGCTAAGATAAAACTATCTAAATTCTCTAAATATCTCTTTTTCCTCTTTTTAAATTTTTATTTAAAATATTTCCTTTTATGGATCCTATTTTTTACAAAAGTCGTTAAATCAAATTTTTTTTATTATTATTTTCTCTTTGGTCCATTGGAATAAAATAACTAGAATAATTTGAAAATTTCAAAGTTTGTCTTCTACCATTCGTGACCGCTCCGCACGTAGAATTTCTATTTCAGTGGAAATCCGAGTCCTTTTTGATGTTACACGTTGTTGCAGTACAACAATGTCGCGAAAGTACGTCTCCGATGACACACGCAATGCCCGCGATCGGTGTACGGTTTCTCTCAGTTCGACACGTTTCGAGTGCACTAGCCAGATTATTCCTGCAATCCGTTTCAACATTTCGTTGCATCGATGCCTGGTTTCGTTGGATGTAAATTTGTTATTATTGTATAAAATTAGTCATATATATCGTTTTCTAACCTCAATTGAAGACCGAATCGTTATTCTTAATTTGGAAAATAATCGTGATACAATAATGTTAGTCTTGTTAAATTGAAATTTAATTAATATTCGAACTGTACTTGGTTGAAATTATTCTTTTATACGAATTAATATGAATCGTAATATGAATTTCTTTTATACGAATTAACGAGCTTTCTTCGAAGCAACATTTTAAATTAAATTAGAAAGTACTTGTTAACATCGTTAACATCAAATTGAAATTCTGATTACTTTGAGTCTTTGTTTTTTGCAATAAGATTAACCGCTGATGAAAAATAGATGATTGGATAAATAGTTACGTAATCCGATATTTTTTCAGCGGAATTCGTTATCGTTATAAACAAGTATTAATTGTACGTATATAATAACGTTCTTCTAATGTACGCGTTTTTGTTCATGTGTCAAATTTTATTTCTCTTCCAAGATAGAATCACATTAAATATTCCTCGAAATTTAAATGTTTGCAATTTAGAAAGATTTTACTGTTCTCGTAAAACAGATCTTCGGATTGACAAGGAAACAGAATTGAATTTCTACAATAATAATTTGTCAAAGTTAATGACAAAAATTGATGTAAGTACTTTGTATCGCAGAAAATTATTCATATTTCCAAACTTTTTCGTATATCCATCACGACTTTCATCGATCCAAATATTTAATAATAGTCAAAGTGATTCGCACCTTGAAGCTGTACAAGAGAAAGATTTTCACGCTGTGAACACTGTCTCCAAGTAACCGTCCTGCGGTCCACGCAGAATACTCTTCCCTTCAATGTCTCTCTTCGAATCACTTCATCTCTGTCGGACAATAATTAAACATATCCGCACCCTCTGGCCGGCGCAGACGATTTCACCAAGTCTCTGTCCAGTATCTGCGATGAATATTCGTCACTGAGGAAGGACAGTAGTAGATCCTCTAGATCAGTCTCGTCGTTCAATTCCAACGATCCAGCCATCCAGGTAAGCTGTTCTGGGAACGATTCACAGAAAACGGAATACGCGACACAGGACTTTTTCTAGGGGCTGTCTTCCAAAGGGTACCAAGCAGCTGGACCTGCGACGGAGGGGTTGGCCCCCGCCGCGGATGGCATGTACTACCAGGCCCGACCTTGGAAAGGTAGGTACGCGCCGCATTGCGGTTGTTGTTGCTGTTGCATGCTCTGTTGGGCACCAGTCCTCGAGTACGAGCAATGCTGAAGACTCTGGCTGGACGTTATCACGTGGTTCACACCGACCACCGAATGATGAGGTACCGAAGAGGCCGCGTGATGGGAGCCGTGAGGGCTCGACGCCGCGGTCATGTGAGGGGCTGGACTCGCCAAGGCCGCGCTCGGCCCGCCACGACTGCCCTCGTTTCCGCCGCCGCTTCCGCACGGTTTCCCGTCTTTCACCAGCACCGGCACGGCCACCCGTCGCGGCGAACTGGCGCTCTGCAACAGAGAATGGTGTCGTCCCTAGCGTTAGAAACGCAGATACGTTCAAATGTGATATATATTTCGTGAAATGAAGGAACGATATGATTGATATGAAAAAATGATTAAGTATTTTTTTTTTTTTTTTTTAGAATTCACTCGAGCGACGGTAGAAAATAGCTAAGGTCGAGAAATGAAGAAGGGATTAAATTTCGCCTCGAATCTCTTGAACACGGTTCATCGAAGAGAGAAACGACAGCCTAGCCTATCCGATCCGCCGGTGTGTACACTCGATCCACACGTAGGTGCACACAGGCTGTGTACGACGAACCAGAGGAGAAGACGACGTCGTGGCTCGGCTTCTGTGTTCCAAGCAAACACGTGGGCTCGGTAGGCACAGGTACTTAACCCGTGCGATACTTCGTGATCAGCATTCGAGCGTACTCGTACTCTAGCAGCCGGAGACTCTCTCTCTCTCATTACGAATAAACAGTACCAGCTACCGTGGACCACAGCCGGGTTCCAGCCGGGGCTCTGCCGAGCCGCGTCAACATCGGGAACTGCTGTCCCTCGTCTCCCTGCGTTTCTATCCGGGGGGATTGAATACGACGAGCGGGACCCCACGGCATGCCAAACAGAAGCCGAAGCAAGCCGGCCGAGTACCTGCCGGGACGACCACTCAGCTGTATCAACATTCAGTACACGACATTCCTCTTCGATCTCCACGTCAGCGACGCTTTAATAATATGATCGCGGCCGCTCGGAAATAACGCCTATTTCGACTCACGGACTCATGCGGATCGTTCTTTTAAAAATCGGATGGAAAATTGCGAAAATGGAAATCTTTTGGATCATCTAAAAATGCTGGTTCGTTGATTACGTAGCTTAGTGTTAGATGTATCTTGAGAAGACCGTATATACATAAAGACTGTATTTCAAGTGGAAAGTAAATATCGAGTAGGAATTATTTTTTTTTAAAAAAAGATTGCTTAATATCGAGTGGAAGATACGATCCTCGGATGAACGCGTCGGAAGTTCAAGAATAAGAAGAGAATAAATGATTAAAATTCTAATAAAATATATTTCGAACGAGAGCTTCTATATATATTTACTCACATCCGTGGGCTACACGTTTTTTCCATTATTAGTTTCGTTTAGATTTAAACGGATTCACCCAGAAAAATTTATTTTAAAAAATAAATTCTAATTATATGATGATTGGGCGTCCGGAGGTTTACGTATGAAAGGAAACAATGGGGGTGGAGTATGTAACAACGATTCGATTCGAGTGGCCAACATGAACTTACGTGCACGTTACTGGCCGCGAACATAAGTGCAGGCATGCCGTGCACTTCACGCTGACAAAGTGACGATTACGCTAAACGCATGACGGTCGGCGCGCGCGTCACGCGTCACGCCACTTTAGCCACTTCAACACGCGTTAAGCGATTTCCGGCGAAAATGGCCGTGCTTAGGAACGGAGTAGTACGTGTTTATGAGCGGCGACCACTGCGCCATGCATAATGAGCCTCAATGTTGCCGTGATCGCGCGGCCGCGATTGAATTCTCGGGAACCATATTATGCGTCGATTTCCCTTTCCCCCTTCGAGGAACATCGTCCCCTTTTTAGCAGAGTATACATATTTCCTTCTACGGAAGCGATCGTTGTCACCGGTTGCTTTTTAGGTTAAGGACTCGACCGAGATTCTATTTTATATTTCTATCTTTAAGCGAGTGAAATAGTGTTCAATTTTATACCCCCTTTTATTTATTTTTCGTGTTAATATCAATCGTTATTCGGCGATTTAATCAGTATTGTAAAAAATTGATTGAAACTAATACTTTTTCCCATATAGGTAAGAAGCGAGGATGAAGAAGTTGAAGAAAGAAATTGACGAACAGCTAGCAAAGAATATTGTTTATAGACGATTGCTTTTTTTAAAAAAGATACCCTTTACCGGAATATTTAATTCCTTTAATATATCGCGAGGAGACGAGAAACGAGGGCAGGGATATTTGCAAAATAAATTGTACTTGAAACATCTACGTGGTCGCGGCCGATGTTCATTCCATGTATACAGCCGCATCGAATATCTAAATGTGCCGCTTGTGCGCGCCACTGACTTCCACGTGAATGCATCTCTCGTGGAAAAACACTCGTCATCGTCGGAACTGATATAATTAACTAAAAGCTGGGCTCTACCAGTGCCACAGCTTTTCCCCTTTTTCGCTCCTCCTCCTATCCCACCTACACCACTACCAAGTCCAGCCCGGCGGTCGTCTATGTCTCGTTCTTTACAGAAACCTCGGTCGAACAAAGAACCACAAGAAGAGATATTAAAAGATTTCTGCCGGGACCTCTCGTTTCCACGACGAATGGAATTCAATGGGTTTTGTAAACGAGGAAGTGGTTTTTAAATCTAATAACCGATGTTTTACCACGAGTGTAATTACATTAGACGGTCTCTCGATACTCGCCAAACAACTTTCGCGCCTTCTCTCTGCCAGAAAAATGCTAAAACCAGGCCACGAAGTTTTCATTGCACTCTTATTTTTTCAAGAAAAGAATAATTTAAATTTTTTATTCCTTAAAATTGTTACTGAGAATTAATGATAATAATAATTTATTATTTTCAAATAGATCTTATTACAACTTAATATTTGCTGTAAATTTAATTTTGAGTTTTTCTCACCGGTTATTTAAATGGAACAATATTCTATCATAAAACGACTGCGAACGATTTTCTATTTCTACATTCTGGACATAAAGATGTCGTAGGCATTCGATTAATCTCGATTGCAACTCGAAGTTACAATCCGCGGGTCGAAAGATCGACGGCTCGCGTCTCGAGGGGAGGGTTAATCGATATCAATAGTAGTAGTATTGGTAACCTCGATTCGCGTCCAGGTGTTGTGCATGACTGTACTCATGGCAAGATGGCGACCGGTCCTCGAGCACCCGTTTCCGCGCTCCCCTGCAGGATACCTCTCTTCCCCTCTCTTGTCGTTCTCTCTTTCTTCTTCTCACCCGCTCTCCCTGCCCGTCTTTTTCTTTCTCTTTCCTTTTCTCATGCTCGCTCGCTCGCGCTGCCACTTGAAATTTTTTTACCGCCGCGAGGGGAGGAAATGGAATAAAACGAAAGAAAGGGAAAAAAGAGGGAAAAAAAATTGGAGCTCTGCCTACCAACCCGTCGTCGTCGTCGACGACGTAGCTACCTTCACGTCGCATACCGTTTTAAATATAAAAACGATTAATTCTATTAGTTATTAACGATATCGTCACATTTTAATAAAAATTCATAAATTATTCCGAGTATAATTTAAAAATTCCAGATTCTTACGTTTTTAATACCAACTTTTCACAATGTCAGATAAATTTTACTATATCTTGTAAATAATTATTTGGGGAAGATTGTGTTCCGAAAGCAACAAAAATAAAAAGTTACCGAAATTCTTTTTATACGAAAGATCCGATTTCCATATTAAGAAAGCTATTTATACAATGTACTTGTTACATAAAACGTTAATGATATTGTTACGCCCGATGCATGTTACCATCTATGCACGTGATCCTGGCCACATAATTATACGTATCACCGAACAGATCAAGATAATACAATGAAAATACCGCGCGGGAAATAGAAAGGAACGGTAAACAAGTCATTGAATTGAAATTGAAACTATGATAATGGAGCAAAAGAGAAAGAAATAGTAAGTTACTAGTTATAAAAGAAGAAAAAGAAATGAATAAAAGTAGAATCTATAGGGATTAGGAAAAACTAACGAGTAAATTATGGGGCGGCTGCTCGTTCTGGCGTGGACGAATTGAGGGGAAAGGACGGTTCACAGATCGGGACACCGGATAACTTTCAACACCATTAATGTTCTATGGGTGTTTACAAGCTGCCGCTTGGCGGCGACAATGTCGACTCTATTTAGAAACAAAATCGATCGCGATCTAAATAACTACTTGTTATATGTTTAAAAATTGAAATCAATACAATTATACGTTTAAAATCGTGATAACTGTCAAAAGAAAATTGTAAGGTAATTTTAGAGATGAAATCGTGCAAGATCAAGAATTATACGAAGATTAAATATGAGATACTAAATAGTGAAAATAAATTTAATTAATTCCATGTAAAACAAGTGTTTGTTATTTAAACTGAATATCACAATGGATCAAAACATGAGAATAACTTTGATCCTCGTCACCTGGAAAGTGGTTTTATGCGAAAATCGTGCGACGTATGTGCTTGTTTCCATCGAAATTCGATGAAATGGTGAAGTCGATGCTGGCCGAAAAACACGCTATGAAAATCCGCTTACCTCGAAACGCCATTCCACGTGAAGTGTCGCTCACGTTGAACGTATTCTTTGCAAAAATATTTTCAACTCGTAAAAAACATAGCGGTATAGAGAGAAAAGAAAAAAGAAGATGCGATAACGAAGTAGCTAGATAGAAACGATTTGAAAACATTTCCGAGAAGCGTGTTGCACGTTTCATAGTCGTGCAAGAAATCCATTTTGAAGCGTAAGAAACTGACAGAGAGCAAATAATCGTCGGCATGTTGACACGAAAATGATTTTCAGCGCCGCTAAAACGACACGACATACCGATTCCCGCTAACTCGAATCGAACGATTTGCTGCTAATGCATGCCAGGACATCCGTGATCTCGCATACTCGTAACGGCCTGTAATGTATTCACCGGGACGAATCTGTGTGTATCGGTACGATCGCCGTCTTCTGACATCTCTTTTGAATGTTATTCTTTAGAAGGAAAGGGAACTTGGATGGAAGAGCGATTCGTATTCGTCAGTGCGTACAGCAAGATCGAGACAGGGCACGTTTCGAACTTGCAATTACGATATCTCGGCAATCTGGTGTGTCATTATTAAAGTTGATAAAAAAAAAAAGGGAAGAGAAAAAGAAAGAAAAGAGCTTGTTTGACGGGTTTCTATAGATACGAAATAATATTCGTACGCTTTCGAAATTCTTGTTCTCGACGCCATATTTAAAAAAATTGGAATTAAAATTTCACGTTTAACAATTTTCACACACATATATATGTATATAATTTCATCAAGTAATAAAGTTAATATAAACACAAATATTACATAATTATTATATAAATATTGAACATTTTAATTTTCTGATTTTTTTTTCCAAAACAGGTACTACTGAAATCAATGAATCGTGAGCTTGTCGAGACTTTTGTCGAATACGAATTTTGTCGTTCGTGAAAAAGTGAAAAACATTATAAAACAAGATATATAGGAAAAATGATGAAGAGAAGAAAACAAAAAATAGGAGATAAAAATAAAAATGATCCGGCAACAGTTAGTCGCAAAAACATCGTGGTAATTACATGTTTAACACTGACAATTTTACGTTTCATGGAGATCGGTATCCCTGCAAAAATTTCGACTGGAATAACGAAATGAATGCAGAATCGCTTCGAGCTGGTTGAGTGGACCACTCGAAACGAAATACGATGTGGATGCGAGGATCCGCGCCGCGTCCGGAATATTTTTCATTTAAAAGCATTTCATTTTGAAACGCTCGATATTTTGTCGTGTGTCTCGCCGTTTCGAAATCCCTCGGGAAATCCGATCTATCGAGGACGCGTATTATCATCACACGAGAGACAGTCGAACGACAGAATTTAATTTAATCCTTGCCTCCTCTCTTTCTCTGACTTTCTATACTTTTAGTATGTATGTTGCTATATTTTGCTTTGATATTATATTTTTTGATTTCTTCAAATATATTTAGATTTTTTATGTTTCTTTTTTTTAACAGGTAATTACCTGATTTTGAGCATTCTGTTCGGCCATCGCCTTCTCCTTCGCTTGCCTCTTGCACTTGTATCGGTGATTTTGAAACCATATTTTTACCTGTAATGTGAAAAAATAATTTTTCCTATTAGAATGAAATTATCATATTATAATAGGAATTACAAAAAGAAAGATAAGCAATATATTGTTTCTGATAGAATGATTTATGAACTACAATAATAAGCTAATAAATATTTTTTTTTAATTTTTTTCAAATTTATAAACAATTTAAGAGGAAAGAGAATTTGGATCGAATTATTATTAATATAATTATTATTATAAATTTAAACTTTTTCTAACTTTTTTTCCTTCCCTAGCATTAAAAGCGGGAGCATATTTTTGGTGCGTGAATTGTCGTCAGGTAGAAACTGAAATATTTTTTCAAAGGGACCAAGTCTTTTATCATGTGTGTACGTTTTAAGTAACAAAACTATTCGTAGTCCCCTTTAAATCTTTAATCCACAGTTATTATAAGTTTGTTATTCCTTCAAAAGAGATTTAACGTCTTGTTCACTTTGCTAGATATTTTAAAGAATAACTTCGTTGCACTTTGCTATTGATTCTTTATTAATAAATTTTATATTAATAATTCTTATTCTTATTTATTTAACAAACTATATTGTATATATTTAAAATGAAGAATAGAAAAAAAAATTTCTCTAGTTATTTGATTAAAATAAAAAATAAAATATTTTTTCTCTTAAAAACTCCATGAACTTTAATCCCACTTAAATCTTCAATTTCAGAATTATCAAATGGATCCTAAAATAGATTTCCCGCAATTGGATCATCAAGAAGTTTCACCGATGGGATTCCTTCTGTGTACGATGTCAAAAGGAAAAAACACCGCAGTTTTATGAAGTTCCGACCCAGGAGCAATCGTGCTACGCTCGAAACCGCTTTTACGGCAATTGAACGCGATTAGGGAAGCCGGCCGTGCGGACGGGATCGAAATCGGCATCTGCTTATGACAGCGGCGCGTTATAATCCGTATTGTGCATTATGCTGCGTTCACAGGGGCGCGTCCTGATCATCATGGTATTGTCGTTGAGTCGCGAAAACAATGCTCTCCGTTTCTGTCGGCCGATTTAATCCTTAACACGATCTTGCTAAGATAACGCCGTCAGTGTTAAACAGTACATTAGAACATTATTGAAGTATTACAACCATATGTTTTAAAAATCTAAAAATTTTAAATTGAATATTTTTTTTTGATTTGATAGATGCTTATATTAATAGAATAAATATTTTGTTTCATGAAAATGTTAATTAATAGGTAATTTTATACATTGAAAGCTATACTTTGAGAAAAATTGAATGAACTAATTTAACAGATCATTAAGTATTTAGTAGATCTTTGTGGATAAAGGATCAAGATCACCGAGTAAGTTATTTCTTGAAACATCAGTTAAGAATTAAATGTATTGACAGATTGGTAAATTATATCAAACAAATTACTATATTATAAATTAAATATTACTGAAAATCAGTATATTATTTTGTAATCTTTCTGTTAAAGGTACATTTATAATGGTGCAAATTGGAACGAGTGAATAAAATTCGGAATTCATGGAGGCAAGGAAAACAGTAGATTGAACAATTTTAAAAATGGGGACAAAGGGGCAAATTAGAGGCATGTGTGAAAGGTACGCCTAAGCCTGATTTTTATCGCATGAATCAAAGGCGAATCCGACCTATATGTTGCTTTGCCTGTAACCTCCTACTCGAGTGCCTGTAACCCGCTGCAATCCCCCTGTGTAGCCCCGTGTAACCCCCCATTGTCGAAGTTATGCGCACCGTAGAATGCAACGAAAGCACTTTAAGGGGCTCCGTGCAGTAGACCGTGTCTCAAGAGCCTGCCACCGTCTGTCTAATTCTTTGAATATTAGCGGGATCGGCCACCCTCGAAAATTCTTGTTCCCCTTCGAGGCAGTCCGCCGCCTCACGTGTGCGCCAGGAATACCGATCTATGGAGAACACAATTTTCCAATTGCCGTTTTATGAAGTGATTACCCAATACATTTCTAGGAATACTTGTATCTATTTGCTGATATACAATGATTCATGTTTTAATTTGTCATTGGTCCTTGAAATAAGTGTTATGGAAAAGAATCAAATATTGTGAGTATTGACTACCAATGTAATTATACATCTTATTAATTCCGTAACGTTAAGTGGTTTCTTATGTTCCTACAAAACCTTGTTTTATTTCATTCGATTGTTTTCTAATTAAAATTAATTATGTATTCGATTCTAATTTATATTATTAATAGCCAATACTACAGTCGGAAGATGGGAATGAAAATTATACCATTATATTTCCAAGAAATCTGGATATTATTTTTTTTTTTATTGAAATAATTTTCATCAATATATCGTATGTATGTAATATGAAATTTTATATATTTTAAATTCATTCATTTTAATTCAGCTCATTTTCAGGATCAAGTATCGCACATATAAATCGCTCATAATCATGGAAGGTGCTTAAAAACAAGAGGAAGAAAGAAAAGGAGCAAAGGTTGCGAAGAAAAGCGCTTTGTATCTGGCGAGTCCTTTCGCGCGACTTTCCGCGTATGTTTTGTGGTGCGACTGATGCGTAGGGCGGAGAGACCTTATCTAAAAGCCACGAAGAGGTACTAGACGAGGGAAGTACTCTCTCGCCGCTCCCGTTCGTTAATTCCTTTTCCACCGATAATCCACTCGTTGAAGCCGGTGGAGTTTCGGGTGTGCGGCGACTTCGAGAGGTCTACAAACAGCCTTGCTTGCCTCAACGCGTTCTTGCATTCTCTACTTTCACGTGTCACCCATTCCTTTTTGTCCTGAGCCTTCTTGCCCTCGCGAGCTGGACGATGCAATTGAAATATGAATGTATATACCTCGTTGCTGTTCTCGCGTTTGTTGTTTGGAATTTCTTTTTCATCTTTAGTTTCTAACCGCATAAAAAATTTACAAAAGTTTCAGAAAATTTAAGATGTTTAATAATTAATATTAAAAATAACTAAATAAGAGATTTCAAAAAGAAAAAAAGAATCTACGAAAAGAATCAAAAGATATGATATTCAAGTAAATTTTATTGAATATATATATATTTTATTGAATATATATATATATATATGAATTGTATCCAGATCGAAAATTTGAAGGCAGGAATGGCAAAAGATTCGACGAAATGAAGGCGGGATATGAACTGACAGAGAGAATTGTTATTTCAAGGGAATGGTCTGTCCGTCAGTCCGTTTGTCCGTCGCTCCCACAACGGTGCCGTGTGTAAACAGAGAAAGTTGAACGAGATAGGGATATAACTAGTATATATATTCGCAATCCATGGAAGAAAGAAATTCGTGACAAATACCGATTCTTGACGATAAAAGCGTATAACTTTACCATCTTTACCATAGAAATGGAAATATAAATAACTGATTGATATTTCCTTGTACGTAATTTTTATTTTTTGAGAATATTCAAAAACTTAGTATCTACATTTTACATATTTTCAATCCTGTTAAAATATTTCTTGTAAAAAATACTTGTAAAAAAAAAATGGACTATCAGATGATTAGATACGAAATATTAGAAAGAAATGAGAAACAGTTTGTTTATCTTCGATGGATAGAACGGTGCAAAAAGGCAGCAGGGCCCGTAGGGGTCCGGCCAAGGTTTGCTCAACACCAAGAAAAGGGGAGCTTAGCTTTAACTTCCGATTAACTCGTGGTTAACTCTCGTTCAGCCAGGTAAATGAAACGTTTCTCGTAACCATTCGAGCGAATCTGCGAATATCCTACGTTTTTTTTTTCTTTCTTTCTATATACATTGTAAAAATCTACCTAGTTTCTTTGAACTAATTGAAGGAAATAAGTTTTTTCACGGCTGATTTAAGATTAATCTGATATCGACTTCTAGAATTTTCTAGAATTAGTTATTGATAAATTTTTTTCTATTTCCAGATTACACATCACTTAACCTCAAAATTAACAAAGTTAAGATACGAATTTTCTCCGATGAATTTTTCTTCCTTTCATTCATCGTAGAAGTGAAGATCGGATCTATTAATCACAACTTTATTTCTTATTATATTTAAACATTGCATTGAGAATATTTATTGATCTTTAATCAACGATTATCCACCTGGACACACCGGCTCCGCCTATGCACATGCCATCTATCTCTTACTTTGACATTAATTAGTGTATCGAATAGCGATAAATTCAGAGAGCAGTTCATCAAAGCGGAGGACACGCGACATTTGGGAGGAACATCGAGTACCTGTTTGGCTTATGCTCGACAGAGGCCCGAGATCGTACATCCGTTCGAGCAGGGAGTATGCGGTTAAAGTGGACGATTGATCAAGTTAGCGTAACGTCATTACGTCGCGTACATTGAGGGTTCACGCAAAATCACCACCACCATCGTAAGCAACGGAGTATTGGGCGTTACCACCCTTCGTAGGCCCGCCAACTGTTTCCTCGGGCAATTTCACTCGACACCAACATTCGACGGATTATCCAATGGAAACCCCCATGTAGCCGCGGGCTGCAGGATAGTTCACGGATTGTTCCGATGTTGCTCGAAAGAAAGACTCGTGTAATTGACGAGAATTGCCACTCGAGGTGTTCTGAACCGTTTCTGAACGCATCCGTTTGCCTCGGGCTACATGGGTGATTTTCTTCTGATCTATTGTTGTTGGAAATGATCTTGGTATTTTCTTTCCTTCCTTTTAAAGTTGAATTGAAAAATTTGTAAAAATTATTCGTCTTTTGATTTTTTATTTTCGTTATTGAAGGAAAGAAAATTGTGTTGGAAAGGTGTTGAAAAAAATTAAAGAAGAAAATATTTTTTTATCCATTCTCTTTTTTATCAAGTGATGTGATGAAATATAAAAAGTGGAATTATTTTAGAATCTCGGATAAGCTTTCCCAATGGAATCCTCTACTAGGTTAACAATTATAATTATTTGCAGAAGGAGTTGGCGGCAAGCAAAAATCGCAGGAAAAAGGGATTTGCAAAGCTTGATTTTAAGTCAGAGACGTGTTTCCATCGCAAAGTGCAAGGAACCGCAA